CGTGCAGAGCCTCGCTGGGTTCGGCGCCCTGGACGGCATGATCTCGGGCTACAACGAGGACCTCAGCAAGGTCCATCCAATCGATCCCGGCACCGTCGCAAACTTTGCCTACGGTATGGAAGACAAGCTGCCCAAGACAGCCCCGAAAAGCACCTACAACACCGAATACATCCAGCTCATGGACGCCGGCATGTCCAACAACCTCCCCATCTACCCGCTCCTCCGCCCCGGCCGCGACGTCGATGTCGTCGTCGCCTTTGACGCGTCCGCAGACATCAAGACGGACAACTGGCTCGCCGTCGCCGACGGCTACGCCCGCCAGCGCGGCATCAAAGGCTGGCCCGTCGGCGTTGGTTGGCCCAAGGCAAGCGAGTCCCCGAAAGAGGTTCGCGATGAGCTCTCGGAAGCCCAGGCCGCGTCCGCGCACGAGGCGAACCAGAAGCTCCGCGAGGCCAAGGCGCACCAGTGCGAGCACCAGGACAAAGAGGGCCACCGCAAGCCGGACGAGGACACGAAGAGCGGGCAGGCGGCCAAGTTCACGCCCGGCGACGAGGAGTCGGGCGAGCTGGGGTACTGCACCGTCTGGGTCGGAACAACGCAGGAGCGGTCGTCGTCTGAGACGCCGCCGCCGTCCAAGGCGATTACCGATTCCAACTCGTGGCAGCTCATGGAGCCCGACGCGGGCATCGCCATCATCTACCTGCCGTACCTCGCCAACCCCAAGGCGCCCGGCATCAACCCCGGCACGACGGATTATCTGAGCACGTGGAACTTTGTCTACACCCCTGATCAGATTGAAAAGGTGGCTGCGTTGGCGAGGGCTAATTACGCCGAGGGACGGGAGCAGATTCGCGGGACGGTAAGGGCCGTCTACGAGCGCAAGAAGAAGCTTAGACTGGAGAGGGAGGCGGGGATCAAGAAGGATCGGTACCGGAGCTTGGTGAGGCGAGGAATGGCGCACAAGCTGGGCGAGGGCGACCAGTTTAGTTGAATAGGCGGATTATAGAGTTGCTGGAATGAAGATACCCGAGAAGGTGGAGGACTCCTGATTGAAGGATGGCGTAGGTTAATCATTGGAATTAGATCCATTGTAATGAAAAGTGTGTTTGTTACTTTGAAGTGTTTTGCAACCGATTGAAAGTGTCAAATAGGGGTTGATGAAGAGACGGTGAAGTTCAGTAAATGGCCCCGTTTCGAGGAGTGTGTCATTGTTTTTACAAATCTATTCATCTTACAGAGACATGCTTGACCTTATACATGTCCTTGCTTCAAAATGTACACTGCCCAACAAAAAGGCATCTTGATAAAGTTCGGGATCACCTGTTTCCCGACCCTTTGACAACGTTCTCCGTCACTTCTCCTCTCTTGCCGCCCTTCTCTTCTCTCCCTCTCCGATGGATGAATTACAGTCGATGCATTTTGCTTTTCGTTTTTCTTCTTTTTGCTTCTTCCCCATTTTGTCCCCAACATATCTTCTTTAGATGATCTCTCCCATGTCAATGTGCGCAGGCTGCCACGGCTTCGCGCCCTCGACTAGCATATCACTCGGCACCCGCACCTTGGCGCCGGGGCTGTAAAGGTACCACGCCTTGAGAACATTCATCGACGCCTGCAGACGCGCGAAATCCAAGCTGGCGCCCGTGCCCTCGCCGAGCTTGTCGCGCCCGCTGTAGATGCCGACGACGTAGACGGGCGTCCTGCTCAGACGACCCGTCTCGCTCTCGAGTCGCGCGACGGGGGCCTCGAACCCTTCGCGGGCGCAGAGCATCGCCAGCTCGCGCGTGGGCAGCCTGAAGCTGAAGAGCTTCTCGAGCTCGACGCGGCGGCTGAGGATGTGGGCGTCGATGAAGGCGCGCACGGCGTCGCGGCCGGCGTGGGCGTACACGGCGCCCGTGACGGCGCGGACGTGAGCGGCGTAGGCGTCGTTGCGGAGCTTCTCGCGCTGCTCCTTCAGGAGTGTGGGATCATTGGGGTCGGGGTTGGGCTCGAGCGGGTTCCGTCTGGGCTTGTGCAGGACGTCGCCGAACTCGTCGTCGAGGATGACCCGGGACGAGACGGAGCGGCGCCACTTGAACTTGTCGAGCTCGAGGTGCTCCTTGCGGACGTAGCCCCAGCGGCCGTGAACGACGCCGTGGGCCGCGGGGTCCTGGGAGAACTGCAGCAGGCCCGGGTCGACTTCGCCTCCGGGGGCGGCGGCGCTCTCGACACCCCACTGGCTGGCTACGCGGTAGAGCGAGTCGGGGCCGCCGTAGGCGCGCATGGCTTCGTAGAGGATGGCCATGGGGAGGCGCGGGTAGTGGGTGATGAGCCACTCGGAGACGTGGTAGCTGATGAGGGAGCCGCCGACGACAGCGAGGTTGGCATTGTTGAAGTTGGGGTTTGAGTCGGCGGAGGGGTCGACGAGGGTGCGCGCGAGGGACTGGAGGGGCAGCTTCTCGGGGAGGGAGAGGCGGGCGTGGAGGGCGGCGAGCTTGGCCGACTGGAGGGCCTTTTCGGGGGCGGGTGACGGGAGGTTTCTCGACTTCGACTTGACGGGTTGGGCGGTGGTGGTGATGTTGTTGGCTGAGGCGTCGGATGATGCTTCTTCTGCTACTGCTGCCAAGGACGGGGAGGAGGTCGATAGTGTCCGCGCCGGGTTGCTGTTGTGAAGCTGTGTTCTAAAGGGGATGGGCGTCAGACACGGCGAGGCGTGTGTCCTGGCCTGGGCGTTGAGCAGTTGCCCGGTGCATCTTGATATCCTTAACCTCTTCATCTGGGACGCCATTCGGTGGTCGAGTTTGGGTTGTTGCTGAGCTGTTCGAAAGCCCAGTAACAACGTAACGAATAGAAAAAGGCAACGAAAGAAAAGGTGTTGTACAATGCGGTCGAGAGCAATTGGGTGGATGCGGTATTCGCTGGGGGTTGAATCGCAAAGGGGGCAAGGGAAAAATGTTCCACGTCCCGAATTCTCTCGAACAGCGCCGGTCTCCCGTCACGAAAAAGTTTCTGGAGCCGACCGATTGGAAGTCGTGTGAGCTCCAGCATGCTAGGGGGTGCCGTGCACGAGCCATGCGAGAAAGTCAGTAGAAGCAGGCGCGGAATATCCGCTCCTCCGCAGCTCCGGGATGGCTCTGGTCCCACTTTTCGGGAGGAATGGATGGCAGCACTTCACTATTCGCGACGTCCAAGGGCAAAAGCTCCAATATCGAGTCGAGGCGGGAAAGCGATTGCCATCACCACACTATCCAACCCCTCATATTGAAAATACAGTCAAAATGGTACGTCAATTATCAACCTGTATTTCATGGCCAATTGCTAACTCAGGAACAGGGAGGCGGTCCTAAGGTTCCGTAAGTTCTGAACCAGCGCATATCCCCATCGAATGCGAACCACCCCGAACCTTTGAAAGCAGCTCCTCTAATACCCACGATAGCTACCCCAAGCACGTCTGGTCGCCGGCCGGTGGTTGGTACGCTCAGCCCGCGAACTGGAAGCGTAACACCGCCGTCATCGGTGCCGTCATGGCCGGTGTCGTTGCCGTTATCTGGAAGATCAGCGCCGAGAAGGAGGTGCGCTACGTGATGCCTCAGGAGGGCCGGTTCTTCCCCAGCAGATAGTACGTTTCCATCTCCCTCTGCGATTCGAGGTCATTACGCAAGAAGAAGAGAGAGAGTATCGGACTGACACTACAAAACACAGCTGGTCGAAGCAATTGATCGAGTACGACAGAGAACAGGCCGCGAGGAAGGCTAAGGATACGACGCAGGCGGAGGCGATTCAGAACTCATAAACAACGACTCGGACGGTCGGAAAACTTTTGTACAATGTAAATACGGTACCCCAGGAATTGAGCGCCGCGCGGTAGCGGCAGTTGCGAACATTGGATGACCCTGCGATATTTTGCTCCGCCCTCAGTGATACATGGATTATGTTTTCCAGTAAATTATTGAAAGACCGATTGATACGGCGGCGTCCGAATTCTTGGGATACAACAAGCTCAATTTCTATGAGCCTGCGGCCTTGACCAGAGCCATTGGTTTCGCCCAGCAGGAGAACGACGGATCCCTCCATTGAATAGTTGAAAAGCAGATTTCGAGAATGCGGAATCGCCTATGCTCACCTCGACATTCCCGGTCATCAACTATGAGATACTCATATAGAAACCCGAGCATGCCTCAAAGCGCCGAGCCGTGAGCAGTGACAGCATAACTGAGCCTTCGGCCAATCACGATGGTCGTAAAGGTAATTCAAGAGTGGGTCTCAACTCTAGATCACGACCATCCCTGGGTATCAGCCCGAGGAGGACCACTCTAGACCACGAGGCAAGCGTATCCGAGACTATGAAAGCACTTGTATTAGCGTCTGTATTTCACACACTTCATCAAAGTCGCTTTTACCAATGCTCCCAACGATGCTGATGATCTCTGTGTCGGGAGAGCCCACCCCGGATTGCCCCTAGATCAAGTATGTCTTGTCCAGAAAACAGACAGGAAGTTAGAGGAAGAACATCGTAACATTCGTCGGATGCCATGGTATATCTACCGAAACAATCATAGGCCACCGAGGACCAATGCTGAATACCAGCCTTATCGGACATACTGGCGTTGAAAGATGACAGCCACTTGTTCGAAAAGGAGATTCTGGACATGCATAACGCAGTACTGAGGGCTCGATCCGAAAAACGAACGATGGGCCGCTCCTATACTATGTTGAGGTGGTTATTCATCTTGCAATCCCTTGCATGGGTCATTCGGGCATATGCAAGCGCGGGAGCAGGATAACTCCAGAACATCACAGAAAGACGCGGAGTAAAGCCATGTCAAAGGATCGTCTCATTCATCATTTAATCATTCAGGGGAGATCAGCGGTCTCAGGAACAGCTCTGCCCCTCCTCCAAGAAGCAGCAACATAAAGAAAGGCATCGGTCCTCCTGACTCTTTCCCCCTTCACCCCAGTGCGTTTGGTCGGCCGAGCTTAAACTTCCACAGAAGAACTCCATACAACGACCACTCCTGGGCCCCTTAGAGCTCCCATTGATTTTGGCCTGCGGGTTTTCGTTGTTCAGCAGCAAAGCTGATGCGTCGGATGAATATGTCAGTAGATTGGACTTTCTCAACTCCAGCTAAGCCAGAGTACACGAAGTGCGTGGAGATGGAATCGTAAGAACAAGAAACAAAAAAGGCAACTTACGCGGAATACTCCCTCCACTGGGCACCCGATGAAGCAGGGCGTCTCGTTGCAGCAGTTGCCCTCTGACGAGTCTTTGAGGAACGCTTGCACCAGCTTGTCGGGCACGTAGAGAGCGGTGATGCCTGATGCCAGGACGGGGAGAATCAAGACTGAAAACTTCATGTTGTTTTGGGTTGTTTGAAAAAGAGTTCAATGCCGGGTGAGGCTAATGGAAGGGATATCTTGATGAGATTTGCTGCTGGATGATGATCTGAGATAATCCGTCGAGGTCAAACACCCAGGAGGTTCAACCCTTTTATATTTTCTCATTTATTGTGTATCTTTCTCCCACCTTGCAAATCGTCCTAATTTTCCCCGCTCAGAAAAGATCTCTCCAGACAATGAGATGGTAACATCCTCGGACGGAAGCATTCAACCCCCTCCACGTACGACCTGCTGTGTCGACGATCCACGGAAGTCAACAAGACATGAGTGGTCTCCGTTTGTTTACAACCAAAGAGCCGCGGCTGGGTTCCCGCTGGTGCTACTCTGGTACATCTATAGATAATAAGTCGGTGTCGAGACTCTTGAATTATTGTTCGGATAGGACGGTCTTTAGCGGCGTCTGCATTGCAACATCCACAGCACCGGCGACATATTTGAAACGAGGCGGGTGAACCCCGCTCTATCAAGATGTACGTTGCCGTGAACCTACGTTGCCGTGAACCTACGCTGTCGTGAATCTACAGCCCTCGTAACGGCGTTACTGATACGCTCCATACTATTTCCAAGTAAAAGAGCATCAAAATGTAACCGATTGACCCAGTCCATTTCGCTCTATTGGTTTGGCAGGTTTTATGAGCAAGTATTCAGGCTCGCTGCAGCAACTTGGCCATCTACAACAGCCTGTTGCACGACTTTAGGCCCCGTGGCTACGAGGACCGCCCGCGCAAATCAAAGGCTACTGGTCTGCCGCGGCAAGTATGACAACATCATTGCGAAGAATGGCAACATCTCTCGCCATACCTTTGAGGGATCCCCAGAGCGTATCGCTATGTAATCGATGTACGTTGCGCTTCCCAAGGTTACCTACACAGATGAATCTCTACCTAGCTTACACATGAACAACTTGTAGTTAGCTCTCAATCTACAATCCCCATGACGAAAGGTCGTGAACTGCTTATCATCCTTCACCCATCTGTTTCCTTCCCACGGTTGTCGATAAAGCAAAAAAAAAAAAAAAAAAAAAAAAAAAAAAAAAGACACGGTAATATGGCGAGCGAGTAGCTTTACGCATTTTTATCTGGCCACATACCATAGCTGCTGCTTTCACCTCTTCGTTCGGTATTCGTGATTGAACATCTACAAAAACACCACTTGGTTTTATCTCCCCTAGTGCCAACTTCTGTCTAAGTAGCAAGACGACTCCTCCGGCATCGGCCTGCAGAAAGCCGTGTAGATCAGAGTATCATTGAAACCTGATAGATTGCGACTGGCACATCGACCCTGGATTCGTGGGACGACTCTTGGATGGGCGCTCGATACAGAGCAACATGACTGGATGTAATCCCATCCTTCTATGATGCTGTTAGTAACGCCTCTCCATGAGGTACTTCAGAGCTCGGATACCATAGGGAAGCCAGATTTTAAGGAATTAGCAGGCTCATCAATTTCAGAAACATGAGTTCAATACAATGAGGAACATAGTTTTCAGGTATGGGCATCTTATTGTCTACCTAGTTTGCTCGACACAAAGAAGCAGCTCTAGCGTCCCATCCCTTTCAGGAGGACCTAGATTCTCTCTCGATCTGTCTCAATCACTGCGAAATCTCCATCTCTCCATCCACCATGTTGTTCCCAATCATGCCACTTCAAGGCATCTCCAAAAGAACCAACGAAATCAGCACTCGCGTCTCATCCTGCCAAAATAGGTCGCTCGGCATATTTGCTAAACGACCAAACACAGCCACCAGAGCTGCAAGAAGAAACGAGATGTGTCAAAGAAACGACAAACAACAAGAGTGAGCAATATACATTAAGCACTAGGCGTATCCCTGCCCCCATCTTCCATGGCCGCCGCTGCAGTCGCGTGGCACAAGATGGGGCCAAGGTAGGTGAATCGAAATCGCGAAACAGTGGGTGTTCAGGCGAGTGTGAAGAAGCGTGAAAAGAAAAGAAGATTGCAAGCCACGACTGAAACCAGGCTGCAAAAAGGGTGTATCAAAAGCGGGTGTCATGAATGAGTGACTTGAAAGGTATAAACGCGTCGTCGGGGTTCGTTTCGCCCCTTGATCGGATTCATCGTCAGAGTCCAGTAGAAGAGGAAATCTCCCCCAAGTTCTTTTTGTAGTAGTTCGCAGAAACGCCGTGCCCGTGCTGTCCAGAATGCATAGTAGACCCTAGTCTATCGCCAAACGAAGATGAATCCCCAGTCTTTGTGCCAAAAGACGTTATATACGCAGGGAGTCAGTGTATATGAACGCTGCTTTGGTTGTCATTTACACAGCCTGTCCGGGGACGGGCTTGCGACCGACAGGTCCCATCGGTGGGCCTGGGCGGCCCTGGACTGGGGGTCCGTTCATCGGTCCATTCATGGGGCCGTTCATGGGACCGTTGGGGGGACCATTAGGGTTCATTCGGCTGGGCTGAGGAATTCTGGTAGGTCCCGGGGGGCTTGGCTTGCGACCTCCCATTCCGTTGGGGCTTTGCGGTCGCTGTCCCGGAGGACCCTGGTAGCGAGGACCGGGGGATTGAGGTCGGCCTCCGGGGCCCATAGGTCCATTGCCGGCGGGGGACTGAGGTCGGCCACCACCGTTCATGGGACGAACTGCGGGCGACTCGGGGCGGGGGTACGGCGGACCGCCCTGAGGGTTCATGGGGCGCTGGCCAGGAGAGAAGTTCGGACCGGGACCGCGGGGAGCACCAGGGCCCATGTGAGGACCACGAGGAGGTCCTTGATTAGGTCCCTGGGCTTGAGGAGGTCTAGGCTTAACCGGGCGAGTGGAGAGGCAGGTGCGCGGTACAACACCCTGCTGGGATCTATCCAAGCGAATGCAGAGCGCCTAGGGCAAAGTCAGCTTACAAACTCATCATTATGGACATTAAAACTTACCCAGCCATCATCGTACTCATGGAGGAGGCGCACAAGCTGGCCAGCTCTCAGCTCCATCTCATCCTCAAGAGTGGGCTTGAAGTCAAGCTGCACACGGTGAACAGTGGTGTTGGCGGGACCTCCAGCGGCAGCAATGGCAGCAGAGCCAGTGGATCCGTTAGATTGGTGACCAGGGCCGGCAGAGTCGGCGCTGAACGTGGTTCCAGAGGGAGAAGCAGGGATGGTAGACAAGGGTGCAGGAGGCGCGGGCAGAGTCAGGTCCAGTGCCTTGGGACCGTCCTTGCGGGTCGACGCCTTGCGAGCCAAACCCCCAGCGGCGACAGCTCCAGCACCAACTGCCGCAGCACCTGCAGCACCTGCAGCAACAGACGCACCGTTGGGGGCGGCGTTGGCGGGGATATCACTCACGGCAGTGCCCGGAGCAGGCTCGCCGACGTTGGGAAGAGGCTTCTCGTTGAGGCTTGTGGAGCTGACGGACTCCTCGGCGATGGGACCGTTGATTCTCTCGGCTTGAGCACCAAAGGGGTTCGCGGGGTTCGAGCTCTGGTTCGTTGCGGGTCTGTCCCAGGCGCCTTGGCCAGGGTTGCGAAGACCCAAAGCAGCGGCAGCGGGTGCCAGGTTGGCGTTCATGTTGACGGCAGGTCCTCCGGCAGGTCCTCTGCTGGCGCGCTTGTCGAGGTTCAAGTTGGGCAAGAACTGGGTAACGGGGCGCAGGCTGATACGAGGAGCGCGGGGGTTCTGGCTACCAGCGGCAGCGGCGGCGGCTCCAAATCCATGCGTCTTCTCATCCTCGTCGGCCAGACGCTGCTGCTCCATCTGCTTCTTGCGACGGTTGAAGAGGAAGAAGACGAGCAAAAACACGACGAGAACACCGGCCAAAACACCAATAGCAATGCCAGCCTTCGCGGCTCCGCTGGTCTCGTTGCTGGTCGACTTGTCCGTGGTTGACGTTGCGCTAGGGGAAGCGCTGGAGATGATGCTAGCATTGTCTGCAGTGGCGGCAGTCTTGGTGGTCTTTGCGAACGTGGGCGCGTCTGTGGCAATAGCGAGCGTGGTCTGGATGCTCTCGGTCAAGGGATCCTCGATGACGGTGGGCAGCGACGAGGTAGACGCAGCATCGATGGTGGTGGATGAGCTGTCGGCAGTCTTAACGATGGGGGCGCCGGCCCTGGCAATGGTGGTTTCGGTGGAGTCAACTGTGGTAGATTTCGACCTCGTTGGGAGGGGTGATTGAGCGACAATCAGCTTGGTTGAGGTGGTGCTCGTGGGGGCGGCGACGGCATCATCACCAGTGACGGTCTGGTAGATGGTCTTGATAACGGTCGAGCGGCCTTTCTTCGTATTAGCGCGCCGTGTGGTCGTGACATCATCATCATCGTCGTCCTGTCTGATTTTGAGATTACCTCCATTGCTTGTCGTGGCCTCGTCATTGGAGGCAAAGGGATTCAGATCCTTGAATTTGTCGCCAACATTGCTCCAGAAATCGGGGTTGCGAGGCGCGATATGCCTACGGGCGTGGAGGTGGTGATGGTGAGGCATTGCGGCAGTTACGGGCGTGGGTTAATGGAAATGAGTCAAATCCGACTAGTCCAGCCAGAAGTCGTCGGGATGGTTGAAGATAAGATGAGGCGTGTGAGGCGCGTAATGAATGATTCGTATCGTGAGTTTCGTGGGTCGAGGCGGGGTATCTGGAAAATGGAGGGAGGATATCTGGCGTGCACGGGAGAGGCTGGTGATGGGAATGCTCAAGGGATCCGGCTCCAGAAGGGAAAAGGTTGTGATGTTCGTGAGGCGATCGTCGAAAGAATGAACCAGCAAGTAGCGAATAGGTCCAAGTTCGACCAGGGAGTCGCGGTGGTCGAGGACTATTGAATTGAGAGAAAGACTGGCTGTCTTGGTGTTGTGGGTTGAAAGTCGAGTGTTGTTGCGCGTACGTATGCGTGCAATTGAACGAATGTGAAGTGGCTCTAGGCCCGGTGGAAGGAGAGTAAAGTGAGAAGGTGGGTGAGGTGAGGTCGTTGTTTTTTGCGAGATCTCACTACCAGCTCACAGTCATTGGACAGTCACAAACCGTCTTAGTAAATTGTCATGAAGACGACTGGGGGGACGTCGATGATGTTTTGTTTGTGTGGGAAGAAAGAACGGATGAATCTGCACACCGTGACTCTTGGGAAGCTGCGAAAGAGCGGACGACGATGAAGTCTCTCTGTCTGTCTCTGAAGGTGAGAGAGTGCAGCGACGGCAGGAAGCAGTCAGGCTCAGCGAGTGAGATGCAGTTCGGACGGAAGGGGGGGGATGGGATGGGATAGGATGGGAAGAAGAGGGCACACACAAAAGTGGGAAGGGACAGTGAGAAGAAGAGAACCGGGGACATTGAGGTTGCACGCACTTCGCAGACTGCCAGTTCAGGATCCTGGGCGAATGGGAAGTTGGGAAAGAGGCCCCAAGCAACGTTGGACGGATGACAAGGGTCGGACGACTGGGGTATGGATGGGAAGCAGATCCCTGCCGCGACAGGTACCCTCAGTCTTTTTGCTCTCACTTTCGCTCTCACTCTCACCCTCCATCTTGGCTTTCAGGATCACTTGCTGTACGTAGTAAAAGTATGAACGAACACGGGTACGGACGGGTACAGGTACCAAGACAGCAGGCAGGAACTGATGGGGGAGCGACTGCACGAGGACCGTGAGATATCAAGATGAAAAGGGAATGGCGCGTGGACAAGGCGGCCGTGCTATACGGTCAAAGTCAGGGCTTGCAGTCTTTGCCGCGTTAGTGCCGTCCGGGGATATCACAGCCTGCGGTCTATGTACATACTTCGTAAGGGTACCTAACTTCTCCTGCGTACTATGTAAAGTGCTGTAGTTGGCTGATGTCTCTTGGGTAACGGTGGGTGATGGCTCGGATCACATTTTGGACAAATGGAAGTTGGACGGATTGGGATAAACGCGCACAAAGAATGCAACCGCGGCTCCAACGGTCATTCGACAATGCATCTGATCCACGCCCACACCACCGAGTCAGCGTTTCACCATCCGCCCTGTCTCTGGCCTCTCCCTGCGCTTGGGATGAACTTCAGCAGAGGTGCACACAATCAGGGAGGAAACAAACACTTTTGAATAGTTACACATCTGTCTTCCTGTCCTACGTAGGTACGTAGTAGACGTGCCAGGCATCACCCACTGTCATTCACTCTCGACCACAGGGTGGTAATTGACTGCCATATATCAGCGACTCCCCCTTCAATCTTGATACGAACACAGTCAATGGAAGGCAACAAATCCCGCACCCATCCCATCCCATCGGTTTCCGACGTAGGTACCGACCTCAATCCCTCGGTCGCATTTTGCGGCTTGCCCATCCACACCGGCGCCCATCTTCATCAGCGCACATGCACGGGCCGCGCTAAGGCAGGGGCCTCCCAACGCCCATCCTGCCGTGCCTGTCAGGTACCGACTCCGCCTGATTGGCTCTCTTGCACCTGTATCCACTCGTATCCACCACACACCCACAGAATAAACGAAATTGTTTGCTCGGGGTTCCTGAGCCGTTCGTCCAATCAAACCCTGCCAGGTGGGACGGGAAAAGAAGGCGTTTGTCCGGCCCGAGCTTCAACCACCAGTGAGCCATCACAAGCAGCCCCCAAACTCCAACATCCCCATCGTCATCGCCAACAGGGGACCAACACATTCAATCCATACGGAGTACGGAGTACCAATCACACAAACACCAGACTGGCACACATACACACCACTACTATTGCTGTGATACGCGCCGTCTCCTGCGTTTCGTCGCCCGACGTTGTTCCCATACAGCCTGGTCCCTTTTCTTTCCCGCCCAAACAGCATCCTATCCCGTTGCCTTCGAGAAGCACGGCAAGAATGCCATGTTCATGCGAGCCACACACAAAGGCAGCTTATTGCCACAAGGGGATTTAGCAAGAATGCACCGAAATAGCATTCTTCTAAAGCTCGAAAACAGCAGATACCGCAGATAGCCTCGGTGCCTCACAAACGAAAAGACTGGCTAGAGTCTGGCGTGTGTCATGGCAAAGCTGGCCTGCCCATCCTCATCTCACCATTCGGCCCGGAACCTCGCAAGGGTTGATATAGGCACCGCTGACCTGCTTACACTTACAGTAGAATGCCACGGCCATTACCGTAATTATCACCAAACCACTGCCTCTCTTAAAGACCCCTAAAGAAGCAATCTTGTCTTTGAAAGAATGACACGACATGCTCTGTGCTTCTCCCTCGCGAGTCGCAAGGGCCTTTCAGCTTTCTCTGTCACCCAACTACCCTTTCTTGATCTTCTTAAGCTACAGAAAGCAGTCAGTGCTCAGCATCCGCCCATCTGCCTCGAATACGAGACTTGTCAGGCCACGTTACCACGAGGGCCTTTCAGTTGTCCTGCCTGCCAGACAGAAGTCGGTGTGTTTGAGTCCAACAAGCGGTCGAGACTCCAAGAACCGAGAATTGCACACCGTTCGATCTCGTTGCTTTTTCGGTTGCGTTTAGACTTCCCGCAGTGCGCCGGAAGAAAATTCAAACAAGATCTCCTGCGTGGTCTCAGGGAAACAAGCAAAGACAATACACAACAAATCCTAACCTAGAGGCTAATTTTAAGACATGCATCGAACGGCGCCGTCAAGCCACCAAAAAGCCTAAAGCCACAAGACCGCTCTTACTTGGGCCCTCGAGGCTTCGATCAACACACCCGTGACACCGAGATTGGAGAGACCTTTTGAAACAAGCCGGTTCGTCCGCTCGTGCCATTAGGTTTGGTTCGCCTATTTCGTACCCGTCGCGCAGTGAGCACTCGCCATTACTGTCAAGTCTCAACTTTTGGTTCCCTCCCCCATGATCTGCCCGCCTCCACAGCATGCCACTGCCAAGCGCCTTTCGGTACCTGGCTACCTGGCAGATGCTGGCATTTTTTCTCGCATTGTGGCCAGTCTCTCCACACTGGAGATGACCTCCGCCCACCAGCCTTATTCATCGACATCCATGACATCCATGCGAGAACACGCGGAAACATGATGGCTAATCAGCGGGCAATCTAACGAAAAGACCCGGATGTGACTGTACGGAGTACTGGGGTCAATTACCGCAGCGTGTAGGCGTTCGCAGGCATCCAACACGCCGACAACATCAACATTGCGAATGGAGTCGTCTCCGTCAGAACGAAGTTGGGGGCAGGAAACCGCGCAATCCTCATTCCCGGGTATAAGGAGCGTTGCATCCATGACATTGACTCGCTATGCAGGCTGCAGCACATCAAACCGTCCATGCCTTACACAAAGAGCAGAGCCAGCACTTCAGACAACGTATTATGCAGACACAACGAGAAAACCTGGCTTCGACGTCGTAGATCGGCACAGCGTCATTTTACTACCTTTGTGTGGCATGCTCCCGCAATCAGCCGGATAGCCCGAGAAGTAGGTTATGGAATGTTTCAATTGATCCTAGCCACACCTGCCGTCTTCCTTGTCTTGATCTGAGGGAGATCTCCTGCTGCGCATCCGGCTATTTGGACGCGGGAGAAGACAGACGGAGACATGACCGCGGCGGCGATCCGTACACCAGCCTTATGCAGCTCCGCGACAAACCTGTCTCATCTCGATTGTCTACGTCCCCTACAACAGATCAGTGTAGCGTCGGGCATCGTTGACATTCGAAGGCCATTCATCAATGGCTGAATTGCTGCATTTGATCATCATAGCGACCAAGCCTAGAACAAAATAGATGCCACCCGTTCATTTCGGAATTTTCAGGCGGACGCTTCGGAGACAGCCTCTTCCGTCAGTCAGAGCGCAACACACACAGTCTAATGTCGAAATAAAAACCTATTTTTTCACTTTTATCTATCCGTACCTCCTCTTCGCGTATAGTCGCGTCGCAAGTTCCCGCAGTTCTAATCATTACAATGCGATACAAATAGCCATCACTGGTCGCTCTCCTTTCTGGCTTCGCTCTTGTAGGTTGCGGTTGGGCCTTACCTTGGCTGGTAGCCTCCCGGTACAGTGTGCCAAACGTGACAGCTAGAGCAAGCCATCCGATCGAAGCCTTTGCACGTCCCTTGCTTCAAGACTTCGTCTACGCTGGTAGCTGGCATAGGTCTCCCTTGGCATCACCCTTCTAAGTGCAGAATCATAGAGGTTCCAATCCCACCCCCACGCTGCCTCCCACCTCATATGGTACTTATGCCGAGCTCAACTAAGCGCGTCGAGCTTCGCACCTTCACCTGTCCACCGCCAGCAATACGGCCACATCTCATCTTCAACTTTGATGAAAGTTAGTCTACTGCGGAGGCGGTTGAGCACCCCATTGGTGCGGCGGCTGAGGAGGCTGAGGGGGCTGCTGGCCTTGATATTGTCCTCCTTGTTGTTGCGGCTGGCCTTGCTGCTGCTGCTGTTGCTGCATCTGTCCAAGCAACGCGGCAAAGAAGGCCGGGTTGATATAAGCACCCTGCTGCGCGCCCTGCCCAGGCTGACCACCTTGCGTCGGCCAACCCGGCGGCGGCGGTGGTACGGCAGGGAAACCCTGCTGACCCGGCTGCGGCACGGGCATCCCGGGGAACGGGAAGTTGAACGTCGGCGCCGTCGGCGCGGGCGCACCCTGCTGCCGCTGCTGGTGCTGCTGTTGATGTTGATGTTGCTGGTCACCGCCGCCGCCCGAGTGATGTCTCTGAGGCGCCGAGTATCCCTCCCTGTGATCCCCGCGGTTTCCGTACCCGCCGCGTCCACGACCACGACCTCCTCCCCTGCCCCTATCGCCGCGTCCCCTAGAGTCGCCACGTCCACCTCTGCGCCCGCCGAAACGACCCGGTTCAGGCTCCGTAGTGGAACTCTGCTGCGCAGGCGGGGCCTGGCCGAACCCAGGCGGTCGCGCGAGGGGCTTGTACGGGCCATCGTCCTCGTCGTCGTAGTTGAGTCCGCCATCGGTAGAAGGACCGGCAGCCGCGGCGCTGACCTCGTTCCGCAGCGGATGCGGCTCACGATGATTCCTGCTCCTCTTCTCGCTAGGTCCACCACGTTCGCCACCGTCCTTGCCGAACCTCGCCTCCTTCTTCTTCTGCTTGATCTGCCTCTTATGCTCCGCCTCCTTCTCGTCATCCGAGAACTCCATCTCGTCCTCGGCAATCTCTTCGTCATGGATGTTACTCGCGTCTGATCCCTTCAAATTCTTCAACGGCTGCGTGAACACGAATTTGGCGTGCGCGGGCGGGTAGTACACCTTCACGCCGACAGCCAGCCCGGCCTCGGCAATCTCCTCGGCCGTGGAGAGCATGACGGTATACAGCGGCTGCAGCACCTTGCCGATCGTCTCCCACACCACGCCAAACACTTTCCGGTCCTCGGTGCAGAGCACCGACCCCGTGTCGAGGACCTGGTACTCGCCCGGCGTGAAAGCCCTCACCACCATGATGTTCTCGACAATCTGCTCCACGAGCCCGAGCTCCTCAATCTTGTCATCCGCGGTGAGGGTCACGTCGGGCTTGGCGGGGACCGCGACGTCGGCGACCTCGTTCTTGGTGCGCAGGTGTCCCGAGGCGCCGGCCCCCGCGCCGCCGCCGTTCTTGCCGTCGCCTCCGCCTTCGTCGTCTGAGCCGCCTTCCATTTCCATGAGCATGCGCGCCGTCTCTTCTACGCCGAGGAGCTGGTAGCCGCCTGCGTCCGAATCGTCGTCTGAGTCCGAGGAGGAGTCGCTGGAGGAGTCAGAGGAGGACTCGTAGGGCGAGGAGTCGGCTTCCCACTCGGGGTGGTCGCCTTCGCCTTCGGCGGCAGGGTCTTGTTGGTCTTGGTCGGCGGTGGAGGAGGTCGGGGCATCCATCATTTGGGGTCTTTCGAGCATTTGAGGGGCGTCAATCATCTCTGATGCTGCGGGTGCAGGTGCGGTCGCAGGTGTGGACGCAGACGTAGGCGCAGGCGCTTCTTGAGCTGCTGCAGACGCCTCTTGGGAAACTTCGACTGGCTGGGCTGGAGGAGTATGATCGAGACCACTGATCATGGCCTCGAGGGCGTCTGTCAGGGAAGGGGGCTCGGCGGCATCGTCGACGTTCATGGCATCGGGGTCGGTAGCCTCCTGTGGTGCGGCGGTTACGGGTGCGGCGGCGACGGGCTCTGCTGTTTGCGCAGGCGCAGGGGCGGGCTGCGACTCGGTCGTGCTCTCTCCCATATTGACGTCCTCATTCTGGTTCTGGATCTGCTCCGAGGTGCCGTTGGCGGCGGCGATAATCTCGGGATCTACGCCCTCGAAGCTCGCGGCGGCAGCGAGAACGTCGGCGGGCACCGGCGGCAGGGTCTCGTTTGGTTTCGCGAACCCCAGTCCGGGAATCTGAAAGCCTGACATGGTGGAATCTGTATTTGCGACCGGCTTTTCTCGCTAGTATGTCGTCAATTGAAGTCCAGTCGAGCAGTGCGAAAAAGTTCCCAAAAGACGAGTGTAATGAAAACCCACAAAGTCTTGTTTGGAGCAGACTCGGGCGCAAGAGAAATGGAGAGTTGGGGAGGACCCGATAAGAAAATTTTAGTGGGGTCTCTGCTTTGCGATAAAAAATTAAACTGGGTCTTGTTCGGTGAGTTGCCGCAGGTCCTTCCAGACCTTTGGTGACATTTTATCTGCCCCACCTTCACCGAGCCTACCGGTCACCTTCTACTTACACGCTCACCAATACGTACCTTACTCTGTAACATATGTTGGGTCGTACTAATTCCCTCGTTCCTGGCACGAGTGCATCTTCTTCATACCTGCCATAAAGCCATCGTCCGCCAACACAGAATCTGCCACTTGGCCGCCCAAATCGACCACGCAACCATGGCCAGCTTCTTCACGGTTAAAAAGCGAGCCTGCGATGAGTGCCATCAGAGGAAGGCATGTGCAACAGTGGCTTGTGATTCTTGCTTGCTTTACTGACCGTAATTGTCTCAACTGCAGATTCACTGCGATGCGGCTGTGCCCCGGTGCGACTGGTGCAGCCATCACCAGCTACAGTGCACCTTCAACCGCGTTATGCACCAGAGAAGACGTGCAGCCCCCACCACACTGTGAGTTGCCATTGCGCCCATTGTAAGATGCTCGCCCTTGCCCACGAAGCCGGAGAGTCTCGCGTTCAATGAATGGCGACCAAGGGCTGTTGACTCGTCTTCTTAATAGTCGCACGACAGAAACGACAATAAGCAGCTTATCCTTGATCTCACCAAGCGCCAGCAGAACCAGCAGCAACAATGTGCCTTCATTACATACCGACACCCACATGAAATCACTCGTAGCCTCACCTACTGTCACTATCTCGATCACCAGTCTTGAGGGCTCGTCGTCCTCCTCCGTGCCACCAGCATGTGGATTAAGATTTGCCCGATACTATCTAGACGAGATTGTCTCGCCCAGCGGTGCACCTTTCTTCTCTGTCGACCACCAGAACTGGATCCGCCGGTGTACGGGACAGGCTCACGTGTTCTCCAACCTGTCGGGGCTCGATTCAACGTCGCCGTTATTATCATCATCCTCCTGTGCCGGAGGCGACTACCCGGCTGATTGCAATCAGATCAAACTGCCGGCCCGACGTGTCGTCGAAGACTATCTGCAAATGTTCCGGGCGACTCCCTTCCGACTCGTGTTCCCCATCGTCGACGGTGTCTTGTTTCAGGAAACCATCAGTCAAGCTTACGATCCGCACCACGCAGCTAACCCAGCAGCCCAGGCCTGTGTCTTCTCCTTTCTTGCCATCATTACTCATACACAATGGAGCCCGCGCAACATGGCCGTCATCATTGACAGCGAGGCATGCGTCTGGCAGGCCCAGCGCCTGATGCCCCTAGCCCAAGCGAGCCAGGACATTACGGGACTCCAAACTTGCCTTATGCAGGTGAGTTGCAGTTCCATAAGGGGGAGGAGAGGCTAAGCTGTGCTGTGCTTACCAATGTACATTTCGGCTTCTAACGTGAACTAGTGCATGTATCACCTCTTCTGCGGCAAGATCCAAATGGCCTCAATGGCCCTAGCTCTAACCTGTCGCCTGTTGTTCGCGTTGGGAGCACACAGGCAGCCCAGCGCAGGGAGCGATGTGCCCGAGCAGCAAAGCCGGACAAGAAGCCACGCGCGTAAGCTGTTCTGGCTCTGCTGGTACACCTTTGACAAGATCGTGGCACTTCGGACCAGCCAGCCTCCCTGCATCGACGACGAGCACTGCGACCTGACGCTACCTCCGGGCTATGTAGACGAGCTATACGTTGACCACAATGACACCACCATTAGTAGCAGTAGCAGTAGCGGCGCCCTCTGCTACCTGCCGGGCGATTTACGGCTGAGCATCATCAAGTCCAAGGTCTGCAGGCTGCTATACTCGATTCGCCTACAGCAGTATCCGTCCAACCAGCAGCATCACCGCCCAACACCCAACGCTGGGCTGCTGCGCGAAGTGCGCGAATTGGACAGTGAGCTAGAGCGGTGGCGCCTCTCCATCCCGGCCCGGTTCCGGCCCATGCTGCTCGGCCGGAACTACGGCGGCAACAACAACAGCGCCTGGTGGCTTGACCCTACTTTAGACGCCAGCCAGAGGATGCATGTTATGGTGCTGCACTTTGAGTACCAGCACCTTGTGACCGCTCTGCACCGAGCCGCGAGCCCGTGGCTCACCGAGGGAAGCGAAGCAACCGTATCAACGGCGGCGACCTTGCCGTTGGGGTCCAGTCAGAGTCAGACCTTGTCTATCGAGGCCAGCCGGTCTTGTCTAACGTACTTTCGCGATACTGCTCCTTCCCTGATGGGAGCTGCCTTTTGGTGAGCAACCCCTTTTCTACTTTGCTCTCTGCTCCTTCAATCTGATGGCCAGCTACTGAGGAACGGGTGTTTTTCGACAGGGTACTACTCCTCTACCCCGTATCTGCTGTAGTCACTCTATTTTTCAACCTGTTGCGGAATCCACTGGACGACCAGTCGGCAGACGACCTCAGACTCCTCGAGTCCATCCCGAACTTGGTGAACGTGGACCGTGCTAGAAGCTCGATCCCACCCTATGTGCTTGACTTGAACACCGTTGATGATTTTGTGGCTGAGGTGATCCGATTGTCCAAGTGTGCGATTACTATGGCCGCACACGTCAAGTACCTTCGGTAGAACACATGTGTGTTTGTCGACAACGCTTTACATCCTGAAGAGGTGGGAATGATCCGTATTTGTATAGGTCAACAACTGGCACTGGCTAGGCTGGATCCTAAAAATGAATGACATTAAGTAGTAGAAAGTGAACAATAACTTAGAGAAACGAAGTGCAAGTTATCCACAACACCTCCTATGGCCCCACCGCCAATGTCGGGTACCACCCCGGGGCACGGCAGGCAGCCGGACCGGCCGAGTGGATACACTCCACTTTTGGCCAGGCGGCCGACGACTACCGCGATACTGACATCAACGAGGCCGTCGACGTCTACTACTTTATGCCGGCACCGCATCACACCGTTATCCCGGGGCGGTTTGACCGCCACTTTGGCTGGGGCACGCTCTCGTATAGCATCGACTCGGCCTGCGCCTCCAGCCCGTCGGCGGTGCTGCTGGTCTGTTCGGCCCTCTAACCCGGCCATCTACGCGGGCCCGAGCTGGAGAATCCTCCCCGTCGCCCTCGGGACCCTGCGGCACCTTTCAGGACGCTGCTTACGGCTATTGGCGTGGCGAGGGTCTAGGCATTGTGGTCCCGAAGTCCCTAACCGATGCCATCACCGACTGAGATGCCGTGCTAGCTGTCGTCAGGGGTGCGGTCTGCAGCTGCTCGGCCGGCGCCATCTCCATCGCGCACCCCAGCACCGCCATGCGGCAGGACCTGTACCGCGACCTGCTGGCTCAGACTGGCATTGAAGCCGCCTAGCTTAGCTACATCGATATTGAGCCGCACTGCCAGTCAAGCTGGCGACACGGCCGGTGTGTTCAGCATTGCTGCTGGCTACCCATTGTACGTGGGCGTTGTCAAGGCCAACATCGGCCACGGAGGGGATGGCCGCGACCATGGTATCCCTAATTAAGTTCACTATGATACTCAAACACCGCCTAATCCCCGGCCAGATTGTGCTCCTTCAGGCTGGCCCCTATCCACCACTTCGGTATCTACGTGGCAGAAAAGAGCGATGTCTTCCGCGCAGCCAGAGTCGATGATGGACGCAAGATAATGATCAATAACTCTGATATTGCGGTAAGTACTCTTCCCTGTTTCATTCAAACTCCTCAGCTGACAAGGGAGTGCTCAAGGGCGGCAACTTGAGCTTGTTGCTGGAGGCAGGCAGCAACTTGCAGCAGCAGCAGCAGCAATACGAACACAGGGGTCGCAGCTGCAAATATCACATCGCAGCAGTCTCGGCACAAATCCTCAAGTCCTTCGTCATTAAACGGCAGGGTTGCCGAGCATCTTCGAGCTCACCCGCAGACCTCGCTGGCCAACGTAGCTTATACAGCCACGACCTGCCGCATGCATCATGCTTACCGGACTGCCTATGTGTCCGATTCCATCAACAACTTGTAATTCAGCTGTCAGTCAACGATAACGACGGCATCCAACCAGTCGCACGCTAGTGGTGCTGGGGCTGAAGGACACAGCAGCGTCATCTTTGTCTCCCCAGACCAGGATATGAGGCGGTACTCAATCCAGCTAACTTTCCGGTCAGAGGCCGGTCGTGGGCGAGGGTCACTTCCGGTTGCTACTCAACGGACCGCTTAGGTATGTGACGAACAACCTGCTGTGCGCGCGTACTTCTTGATAAGCATCGGGGTCATGAGAGTCATCGGGGACGTCCTCTCCCCTCTGTTATACTTGCGTATGCAGGTTTGTCATGTCCTGCAGGGCTATGCACCGTCCGAAAGAGGAAATTTGCCGCTTAGTCATTGGTGCTAGCTTGGTTTTCCTTGCCCGTTGCTAGCTAGCTCAATCATCTACATGAATAGTTGAAAACCATCGTCTCTCAAGGACGACGAAAAGCGAAGGGTCACAGTCTTTAGTCTACTGCTGTGGACAGGCAGAAATGGATACTTATCAGGACCTCAGCACTAGGGGGTTGCTCAAACACTCATTTAAGGGCGGGCATCATTTCCTTTTGTTACAAGCGAGTTGTCTGCATGTTATGTGCACATCTTCATCCATAAAGACCTGGAGGGCCTCTTCCTCTACCATCTCCTCTCCCCTTTCTCTTAACACTCTTTCTAGCCGGCCTGACAACACAAGAAACACAGAGACTAGATATGGATACCAGCGACTGCACCTTGGACACTTGCCCAGTCAGCTTGTCTAGGATTGGGTTCCTGCCAAACCTGGGCGGCAACGCCTTCATGGTGGCCTGGTTCGGAACCATCCTGATAGCACAGATAGCCCTTGGGATCCGTTATAAGACCTGGAGCTACCTACTCGGCCAGGCGTGCGGACTGGCGCTCGAGGTGGTTGGCTATGTCGAGCGTATCAGGCTCCGCGATGACCCGTTCAACAACCAGACATTCATCGTGTAAGTGAATGGCCTCCCCTTCTCGCCCTCTCCTTTTCCGACTACACGGAAAGCTAATGGTTCCCTCATTGTTTCTGCACAGATACATCGTGACCATTACCATCGCCCCGGCCTTCCTCTGCTACACCATCTACCTCTGCTTCGGACGCATCGTACTCATTTACGGCCCCCACGTGTCACTCATGCCTCATCGATCCTACACCATCATCTTCGTCACGCTTGACATCATCTGTCTTGTTCTTCAGGCTGGCGGTGCGGCATGGACGCAGGCCGATGGACTCAATCCCCAGGACCTCGACCGGGCGCTCGACTTGCTGCGGGCCGGTCTGGGACTGCAGTGTGCCAGTCTAGGTCTTTTCGTCTTGCTCTCGCTGGATATGGGAATCCGGGTGCTACGGAATCGGAGCACATGGACCACGCGGTATGCTCATGTCCGTCAGCATAGAGCATTTGCTTACTTCCTCGTGGGTGAGTTATAAGTGTCTTCATTCTTAGCTCGTTCCCGCTTGCTGATACTCTTCAAGGATCCTTTGCAGCCGCCCTACTGATCCTTGCCCGCTCTGCTTTCCGCGTCGAGGAGCTGCGCAACGGCTTCAACGCTGCTGGTGACAACGCCGAGACGCTCTTCATGGTGTTTGAGGGCGCCATGATCGGCCTGGCTGTGCTGCTGCAGACCGTCTTCCACCCAGGCTACATTCTTGATGGCGAGTGGCGCGCCACCGGCTTCTTCACCAAGCAGCTTGGCGCTCAGCATAGCCAAGGACGTGCGGCCGAGGGAGAGTCTGGCACTTCTTTGCAGACTGCGCAAAAATGCGGATAGGAGTAGATTCAGGTTCGTGGGGTGGACAACGCCCGCGAGGGAAAAGGGTCTCCCTTTAACACATGTGACATCAAGACTGGAGTGGGGAATCGTCTGCCATTGCCACAATGGATTTGGTATCCATATGATGGAGTGAGGTATCTTTGTGGTCTATCGCGTAGTGGGCGTACGCTACCTGGGTACTTGACAGTGGCTGTGCTTTTGAGTCTGTTGCACGCTATCTGCTGTTTGCTTTAAACTATGCTTCTACCTGACGCGAACCGGAATCAGCAGAATGGTAGATACTATGAAGAAAGAAAGAAATAGAAAAAATACATGAATACAAAAACACTCACCTTCATCGCCTCTATATGCTGTCCCTCACTCTCTGTCTGCGTGCCAACCGTGTCGAGGGGTGGACTTTTGGATCGTATGGACGCGCTGATGGGCTTCGTCTGTCTAGCGCGAGCATCTGCCACTACTACTACTACTACTACTACTACTACTACTACTACTACTACTACTACTACTACTACTACTACTACTACTACTACTACTACTACTACTACTACTACTACTACTACTACTACTACTACTACTACTATGCCGCCGCTCTTTCTCTTCATAGACGTCTTCGAGGTTGAGTTGACGCCGTCTCCGAGAAGGAAAGGTAGTCGCCGCTTGGAGCAGAGCAGAATGCGTTGCTCTAAAGGTTCGAGAGAAAGATGTCTCTTTCGTCAGGCTCGGCAACAACCACCGCCAGGGCTCTGCGCACATGGGCGACGGTAGGATTGTTCCGAAAGAACGGGCGCCCTGGATGGACATGGCCAGTTACCTATGAAGGACATTGCTGATGGCAATGCCCATCGGGGAGTCCACTCCGAGGTCCACAAACCTAGTCGAGTCGTTCAGCTCGCTGCGATGGACACCGGTCTGCTTGGCCACCTTGGATAGGATTTGCCTCCAACTCGTTCTGGTTTTTGTTTGCCTAGAAGGCCTACCGAGTATCTCCAACGAAAACAGCAGCAATTAACAATAGAAGGAGCAGAATGGGCACAAGCCGGGCAGTCTGGTCCTTGTACACAACTAGGCAGGAGGGGGTGGTGTCCGCTTAAAGCTCACCGCTGATGAGACCCGGAAAAGAGTCAAAGTAGTAGGCCTCACAGAGGTGATGGTAGGACTGAATGACCCCTTACCCCCGGAAGCCAGTGATCATGCGCTGGCACCGGTGGCTAGACTAACACGATCCTTCCGTGAGAGAGAGCCTTGGTTGCGCCTCATTCTGGTATCGTTCGATGAGACATTGATGCAAGGCGCCAATAAGGCTATGAGCCGGAATTAAGGGTCACTTCAGCTTGCGTACTTATTGATATTTAGGGTAGCCGTTCGAATGTTTGTTGCACTCACTTGATCACACCTAAGGTTGAAGACGAATGACCGAGATATTCAGAGTCCCAACAGAGACAGAGACAGAGACACACACACAAAGAGAGAGAGAGAGAGAGATCTTCATTCACTCGTCACCCTGTTCACCATTAGCCTTGACTTCTTCTGCTCCATCTGTCTCGACAGTGACCTACCTGGTATGGCATTTCAGTGAACAATTAATGGCAAGAATTTACCTTGTCTATAAACCGAATATGTGAGGTAATGTACGAAATCGTCCATCGGGTGTTTTGCAAAATTTTGTCGGAGCTTTCGTATAGACAGAAATGGAAGCCAAATGTGACTTACATTAGGTCTCTATCGTCTTGGAGCCACTCGATTTGTTGCCAAGCTCCCCTCGATCCCTGTCTTGCTCGTATAACACTAACGCGAAGCGGGATAGTCTCCCTAATGGGAATATCCCCACGTGTGGCCTCGCCTGCTTGTCTCGACTACACCTTCACCAGCTTGATATTCTGGAAGTAGTCTTAGTTCTGGAGATCGTACGACTTAGCTGTCACGGTCTATGGGAATTTTTCGGTGTAAGCGACGATTTTCAGACTAGTGATATGGGCGTGGTGGTCGCTCGCCACCAATCACAGAGCGTAAGCAAGGGATGTCTATCATCAAAGTGGTTGGCACCGTCGCAAGAGGAAATGAAACTGCTAGAGACATCTCGAATCCGAAATCCATGAGACCCAATCGTGGCTATGGTAGAGAATACTCCTCTACAACATCAACGTGTTCTTGATTAGAGTGATCTTCTCCGGTAAGCTCGCCCGTTCGGAGTACGGGGGAGGAATGGCTGCTGCCAAAGATTGACTACCTAAGTCGAGATTCTCCATCGGGAAACATCAAGACGAGCTTAATTATTGTATGGGCGTGTTTGAAACATCGCATTCTTGTAGAGTCCAGCTGCAGGTTATTCTTAGACCCTGCGAGTGACCCGCAGGTCGAGCACAGCCTACTTCTAATCTCCTTTTCTATGCAGCCCCGGATGCTGCTCAGAAACCCCTCACGCTCTAAGTAGTGTAAGTGGCAGCAATGATCAACTTGGCTTCGGACTTTATGATGCCAGATGTAGGATGACGAGAGGGGTGGTGACGGAGCCAAGCTCAAGAAGTTCCAATGGGGACAGGTTTTGTCTCGGAAGGGGTGTTTGCCTTCTCACTCACTAGTGCAACACCCATACTCCCTCTCGAAAGTCGTCTAGCAGTGGTTCAACTTTCCGGGCAATTTGTATATATATCAATCAAAGTCCCGTCCGATGCTGGTGTATCAAAGCAGTATCCAGACCAACCGAGAAGCGACTGAGAATTTCGCCTTTCTGCTCTTTTCATTCTTTACACCAAACCACCACATTCGTTCATCTCCTCCTTTAGTTGCAATGACATCTTGGAAACTGACGGCGGCCTTTGCACTCGTGGGATTTCGAGCCGTTGAAGCTCAAGACTGCACATTTGATTCGATCACTCCCTCCCGAGACCTCGTCTGGTGCCCATGTGAAGGCCAATTCTTCTGCGCCAAGCTCGATGTATGTCATATCTCCAACCCCCGTGTCTTTTCAACTAACAGAATTACCCAGGTACCTCTCGATTACAAGAATCCAAGTCTTGGCAGAGCTTCCGTCCCCTTACTAAAGATCCCCGCCGCCGCCGAGTCCCCAGACGGCCCGTACCGAGGCGCCATCCTCATCAACCCAGGCGGACCAGGGGCGTCTGGGATCGAGCTGGCGCGTTACAATGGCACCACGGTTCAAGTCGTAGCCGGTTCCAACTTTGACATCATCGGCTTTGACCCCCGCGGTGTCGGGATCAGCGAACCGCGGCCCAATTGCTCAGCAGGCATCTCGATAGGCAAGAATGGTACACTTTCCGGACGAGATGCCCCGCGGGTGGTTGATGGGTACTACCAACAGTTCATCGACTTTGGAAAAGAGCTTGGAGAAAAGTGTCAGGCCCAAACTGGTGCTGATACCGAAGCCGGTCCGCATATGACGACTGCTGTTACTGCGCGCGACATGCTTAGCATTGTTGAGGCCTTTTCTGCTTCTCCTGACGGTAATCGTACGGTGCTTGACTCGAATAAGCTGAACTACTACGGTGTGAGCTACGGGACCATGCTCGGACAGACGTTTGCGTCAATGTTCCCTGATAGGGTTGGCCATGTTGCCATCGATGGGCTGGTTGACCCAGTTAGCTACCAGACGAACTTCACCTCGAGCTCTATCAACCACGTCGACGGCGTTTTGGGAGCTTTCTTCGTGTACTGTCACGCCGCAGGTCCAGATCTCTGCTCTTTTTACACGGGGAACACTCCAAAGGACATCTTTAGCCGATGGAATGCTTCCTTTACGCAGCTTAACGCTCAGAAGGCTGAGGCAGAGGGCTGGGCGAACGCAACTGACATTGGCCTGGCACTTGTGACCTTCAAAGTCAGTGTCCTTAGTGCGGTGGTGCAACCGCTGGCCGAGTTCAGCAGGGTTTCCGACGTCTTCGTTGCTTTGGAGAAGGCAATATCGTCCAACTCCATTGCTGCGTGGATAGGGCAGACGAATGCGATCTACGGAGATCCTAATATGGGAGGATACGTGAACCCCGAGCAGACTCTGGGCATCTTATGCTCTGATCAGAGCAACATCTGGTACGGGAAGTCACTCGCGGATATCAAGCCCTTACTGGACGGCTTGAAGGACACCAGCATCGTGGGAGAAGTCTGGTCTAGGACGATGCTCGCATGTCTCGATTGGCCCATCAGATCCAACGACGTCTTCAAGGGTCCATATGGAGGTAATACCTCGTACCCGATGCTCTTCGTCAGCAATACCTACGATCCTACGACGCCAATTGAGAAGTAAGTTGAGCTTACCTACCGTGACAACCCTTGCTGATGAAAACTTTCAGCGCCATCTCGAATGCGCCCAAGTATGCCAACGCTCGGAGACTCGTCACTGATGGCATGGGTGTAAGTTCAATATCAACATCTCTTTGACAGATGCAATGCGCTAACAATTTCATAGCACACCACGGTAGCCGCGAACAACATCTGTGCGTTTGCAGCCATTCGATCTTACTTCCAAGACACCATGTGTGGCAAGGAACACTACTGCCCCTTGGAGCTTGGTCCGTTCAACGTTCAGCTGAACGGAACGATCAAGGAGAACCTTGAGGCTGCTGGGCTATCTAATCTGCGCAGCCTTTACTGATACAGTTGTACATACTTCATTTCGCCGGGCCTGTTTCTCAAGTAATTTGAACATGACGTTGTATCCGTATAAAAATCGGAGAATTTCTCCTCGCTCGACTGTGGTCGAGTAATGTGGTCGCGAAAGAGTTGTTCCATCGGCAATGATTAAGGCTTCGGGACTACAGCCGTGAATCTGTCCATGCAAGTACGAAAAGAGATCATATATGCATTCAGTACATATTGTGTGCTTAAACTATCAAACCAAATTTGATACGTGATGTAACGCAAACATACATTCCGTAGTCTAAACGAAAAGTGCAATAATGCTCGTAATCAATGTGAAGGTCTGTCGAACTAGCTATCCACATCTGCCTGTACCAAGGGGTGCCTCTGCCTCATGTGCCTCTTCAAGTTATCCAGACGCCCGCCTCGAATACTAGCTTCGCAAATATGGCAAATTAGTTTCGCCTTCTGATGTGCAGATCTGTCGTGCCTGAGGAGATCTCTCGCAGTGCTGAAGCGTTGAGAACACCGTGGTACTTCACAAGCATGCTCCTTGATATGACATCGTATATGATCCCTGTACCGAATCAATTAATATACAAAGATTGCCGGAGCTGTGAGTATACGAACCTGAGTCGCTTTGCGTCTCCGCTGAAGTTTTCACAGAAGGGACAATCGCCTGGTGTCGATGATCTGTCTAAGCCATAGTCGTCTCTTCGTCGCCTAATACTGCCACCTAGAGGAAATTGGCTGTAAGAAGCCCGATTAGAGTTATCGATTCGCCCCTTGTTGCGGTTGTTGTCGTCTCTTAAGGCAGCCACTTGGGCGCTCTTGGTGCTCATGGGGTGGCCAGGTACGACGATCAAATCACCGGCTGCTTCATTAGTCAAGAAGTCAGAAGCTTGGATTGCTTGACCAGCCTGACTGTGTTGCCGTTCTGGGAATCTTGGGCCGGAGAAGCCAATCCCGTTGTCCATATTCGAGGGAGTTATAGTTGAACATTGTGCAGACGGTGCAGCATTACCCACGATGGGTAAAGTCGCAAAGAACCTCTGGGGATCTTGCAGAGCATTACACCCAATGCTAACGGAATTCTGAGACCCTGATTGACTGGCTACCATGGAAGATTCGTCGAACGAGTATGGAAAGCTCGCCAGTATTAGTTCTAGAGAATGGTCCTCTGATCTGTCGATGCTGCGATGTTCAGGAGTGGTGGCAATCGGCCCCGTGCGTCCATTGTAAGACCCATTGCCCGGATTATCGCTGTTGACAGAACGATGCAAGTCACAGAAGAGAGCAGGGTAGTGGCTGCCGCGGTCTACATCTCGCTGGTATGAATTGGGAGGCGAATCCGGTCTGGCGTGGTTTGGGAAGCTATATAACTCCAAAGCTTGGTAGATCGTGTCGTGGAACAGCGCAAGGCTCCCGTCATTTGATGACCGGCCTGAGGCTGAAACTAAGGGCCTGTGGCAACATTTTGAGGGTCAGCTTCAGGGTGTAAATGCTGACTGGGAAGTGATGATAGGCAGCGTACAGATCATGCGCAGTAAGCACGGTTGGTGAGCAAACAGCTTCTTCATCTCCGGTTCTAAAGCCATAGTTGATATGAGTCAGATATTGAGACATCAATGAGATGAGATTCCTATTTGGAGTGATGCACATGGGACTTACAAGACCTAAAGGTGGCTATATTTCAGTGTAGGGTTTTATATCAGCTAATATGTGTCGCAGAATGCGTAGGCGGAAATATAGAAAGATAGTGAAAGCCCGATCTCGCATTGTTTTTTAACAGACATCTCACTATCTCAGACAGACATCTCACTATCTGAGGGGTAAGGGATGTATTTGAATGCAGAAAATTTGCGGGGAACTCCAATGACATCTCTTTACATCTACGAAGGCCTCATGACACCCGGCCGAAGGTGAGGCTGCTTGAGGCCACACCTCGAAAAAGAGACTACGCCGCAAAAGTGCATAACATGACAGGACGCCATGGGCGCGGATGGGCTTTCCGAGCCAGCATGCCTCATTCTCAACCTATGAACGTTCGAGGGCTCATCTCGGCCGGCGTTCTGGCCAAGGTGTACAGCATTACATGGGTTGCCCGGTATTAACCGCAAGCCACCCTGGCATGCAAGTCCTCATTCTCAGGTTGCCCGAGTCCTAGTGGTTCTTCCCTTTCCCTAGCCGGTAACCTGTAGCGACCTATCCGAAACACACCTCGACCGGGCTGATTGCGGTTCATCGCCGGGCCGTTAATAGGCCATCATTCACAAACCTAGTGACGCAACATTTTACAACCTTGTGTTCCAATTCCTATCTGCTTATACAAGCTTCGTGATTTGAATTGTAGTTCTGACAATGTGACTTGCGAGCGGACTCAAGTCGCCAAAGTAACGTTTTTCCTTCTCGGAAACAAAAAAGCATTCCAAATTCTTTTCCCATGGGGTATCTTTTGGTACCGTCAACGCCAGATAATCGGACAAAATTCCCCTTCCATCCCATATACACTTGATGTGCAAAGCCTCGTTCGTTGGCGGGTGCTATGTAACCGTCGACGGAAGTAGTGACCGCCGCGCGGTGAAGAGCGAGTTCAAAGATGAAGGTGATGATAGAGGTAGCTAGCAAGCAAGCTCAGTAGTAACCGCGGCCCTTGGCACGACCATGGTGGTTACGACGACCGCCCCAACCACCGCCGCCGCCGCCCTCATGACGCTTATCGCGGTGGTTATGGTTGTTATTGTTGTTGCCGCCGCCGCGCTGCTCAGGCTCAATGGGAACCTCAACCTCGACCTCGTACTCTTCATACTCGTCACGGTAGTAAGCCTCGACCTCCTTGCGCTCCTGGCGGGCGCGGTCCGGGTCAAACACGAAGCGCATGGTGCCGTCCTGGTTGCGTCCGTTGCGCTTAGCAGAGTTGCTACCAAAGAAGGAAATATTCTTGAGGACGGAGACGCCGTTGGAGAGGTTCTCGTCCTCGCCGCCGTCGCAATTGGTGCACCAGTGGGCGTAGCGCACGAGGCCTGGAGTGTTGTCGACTTCGCTGTTGATGACGATCTTGACCTCGATGAATTTATTGAGGTCGAACTGGACGCCGAGCTTGGTGGACTTGCCATGTTGGGTGTAGAGGTCGAGGAGGTCGAGGACCGTCTCGACGACGTTTTGGCGCGTCGTGTGGAAGTCTGCGTAGTTGATCTTCTCTACCTTGTCGACGCCCTGGCCGAGGAGGCGGGCGCTGAGCTCTAGAAGACCAAGAGCCAGGGCGTAGGTTGTCTGTTTGACTGGGGCAAAGGTCTTGTACAGGTCGACACTCATCTCCATGGCGGTAGCGAAGACGGTCTTGGACTGGGGACCCAGGATCTTCTTGGTTGCCTTCAGCAAAGCGGACTGAGGGTAGCGGCAGCGGAAGTCGAAGCCGACGGTCTCAAGGACCAGGCGCTCCAGGCCGATGATGATCTTGGAGGGCTGTTCGAACATCTGCGATTGGGTTAGTCACAGCCAAATAGTAGACTACTGGTCACTACACACCTTATCGTCCTGGGTCGTGGGGTGCTCGGGATTCTTAATGTTGTACGCAGCACACAGGATCTCCTTGGACTTCTTGATGGTGTCCTCAACCTTGCAGGCCAGGAAGAGACAAGCCATGGCAGCATCTGAGTAGTTGTACTCGGCATCGCGGAACGAGAGTCTGAACCAGTGGAAGTAGACACAGGCAGTGTCAAACGTCTTGATAGGGCTGCGAGTAAAAAGTCAGCATCGCCACTTCATCAAGCTCCTGCCATCGTAACCAGAACGAGAGTCCAACATACACGCGCAGCATGGTGCGGACGTTATCGATGAGCTGCACTCCCTGAAGACGGTAGCTATCCTCCCTAGCTGGATCGCTCTTGTTGTCTCGCAGCATGCGTCTCAATCTCTGCTCGCTCGTGAACTGGCAAGACACCTGCATATGTCCAGGGTGCGGACCCTTAGCAGCCGCGGGTTCGGCGGCCGGTGCTGAGTTGTTCGTGGCAGCAGCACTCTGCGCAACGCTCTGCGCCTTGGGGCCGGAGGGAGCCATTGTATAGTCGCCGTCACAATCTTTGCCAGCCGTGTCAGAATCGCCCTGCAATGTCTTCTCGTTCTCGTCCGCGAAATCGTCGCCGCAATTGAAATCGCAGTCGAGGTACCGGTCGTTGTCGCCTACGGTGCCGGTGTCGTCAGAGTCACCGTCGTCGTCTGGGTCGATGGCTAGGTACGAAGAACGCTTAACGGGAAGCTGAATCCAGCTGTAGTCATCGAACCAGACCTTGTCTCCCTCGAGGGGCAGGTCGAGAGTGGTGTCGTCTTTGTAGAGGTTGTTGATCTGTTCTAGCGTAGCCTCCGAGATTTCGCGTCCGAGGGTCTCCAAAACTGCCTTGTAGATGTCCGGCAGAGTCGCGGTGGGGTGGGTGAACGGTGCTGGACCTGCGTCCACCGCGGCGTCCCAGTCGACCTTTCTTTTGCGCACGGACCGTGTCACCCAGTTGGGGTGCTCCACGACTTGGAGCCGGAAACGGGGCGGCTCAACGGACCGGTCTTGTCGATGCAAGACTCTAATCAACTTGGGATGACCGTCAACCGTGAAGTCAAATTGTTCGATGTCTGAGGTTCCAGGAATCGAAGGATTGGTAGGAACATAGTATCCGTTGAGAGCAGTCATTCCAGCAGGAATGATTCCGGGGGACTTCATCTGTGTTTATTCATTGCGTCAGTTCATCATCCATCTTTGTGAGTTAGTAGTAAGTGTGCTTCCGATAGAAAGTAGAGATTCAAAGATTCTTTTCTCTAGTGAATGTCTCGAAAACAAAATGGCAGGTAATTGTCCAGTATCCTCGGGTGAATAGAGAAAACTGCGGGCGGTCTCGGAAATGGTAGGAAATCAACTTGCCATGATGTTCAGAGAGGGGAGAGTAAAGGAGAGTGTAGGTGAGCTTGTAGTCAGCCGGTAAATGTGAATCTGCTTGACTAAGAAGCTGCTCGATCGCGAAGCTGAGCTAGAAGGATAGATCAAGACAGTTCAGTTGCCAAGTAAGCTCAGTCGATAGAGAGTGGCGAAGGCGTAAATCCCGAGAGCGAACGTAGAGACTTTGAAAAGAGAGTATTGAAACTTTGAGTTGGAGCAACGATAGCTTCTCAGAGAGATTCGCAAAAAGACCGCAATTGTCGATATCAAGATAAATGCCCTCAAGACGCGACGGCCGAGGGAGCACGGCGAAACTGCAGTCACCCAACGACGAAGGTATCGTCAACTGGTAGAGTATGGAAGCAAAGAGTCAAGAGAGAAAGAGGTGGATATCTCGGCGTCTGTTTCTTTTCCAAGGGCAGGTTCGAAAGACCGCCTTCAAAGGTAGGTACAATAATATTCTTTCCTTCCCCAAACGTTTTTCCGTTTCCACTAAACGAACTCGGAGAACCGAAGCATCCTTTCCAGCCGCGTGGGGAGTTGAGGTGCGGCTGGTGAGGCCTTGAACCGGAGCCGTGCTCGCAATGGGACCTAGGAGTCCCGTCTCGTGAACGTTCCTCCTCGCAGATTGAGCATGTAGACTAGTGATAGGGGTATCTGAGAGTGATGTTAGCCATGTGCCATGCCTCATGTCTTTAGACAACAAAGGGTTGAAAGGAGTATCAAAGTGCGGCTTGGTGTCATTGTATGCAACCAATGCCGTACTGAGACGTCGTTGAGGGTATACAATGCGTCGAGAAGTGATGCAATGGGCGTAAGTTGATGTTGTTGGATAAAGACAAACCTTTTTGATATCACTGGTCTGCTCCTAGCACCGAGTAACATACTGATGTATTCATACCCATCCCTCGGCGTTGTGTGAGAGAAACGTTGATAGAACCGCCAGTATCTTCCCTCAGTGCTGTCCCACAAAGCCACTTTACTCGTCACAAGTGTCCGCCTGAGGAACACGGCGGTCGATAGCAGGAACCACCGGTGCAACCGTGTTGGGATCCAGCGTCGGGACCTCGAAGGTCTTGAACGGCGCCGCCAGGACGGCAACCGGAAAGAGGACGCAGAGAACCTTTGAGAACTGCATATTGATCGGTTGTCGGACTGTGAGATGGAAACGTCCGATGAGCGAGACGAGAAGAGTGAAATGCAGAGCAAAGGCGTATATTTAGATTGAAAGATGTAAATAGAGAGATGCAGTTCTTCAGATCAGATAAACTCGACAATTCTGCAGATGGGTTTTCAGTTCAATGAGCATACTCGTCTTCCCATGTTTCAAGTGTCGTTCGAGAAAGGACCGTCGTCCATACTTATGGAACCCGCGAACACTGCCCACCCACGCAACCCGCCAGCAACGAGGGTTCGCCCGAACACATGCCGTCCGAGCCAAGGCCGCAAAAAGATCGGCCGATCAACGTCGTCCAGCCACAAGGCTACTTCATGCACCCTTCGGTCTCCAGCGTCGTCAGCCTCTGCCTCTCGTGTCCCTGTACGAGGGTGCGTCGCGGTGGTGGTGGTACTCCGGGGGGAACACCAGTAAGAGAGCCTGAGAGGCTAGGTTGCGTGAAACAGGGGACCATTCCTTGGTTGCATCTTTGGTCTCGCACCGAGAGCGTTTCAGAG